TTTGAATAGGACAGCTTGCAATTTTTATACATCTCTAATAGTCTATTGGTATATCCTCACTTACACATATACAATATCTGAAAAGTCTCACCTTAGATTTCAAATATGATAACACGTTTAAAACTAATGGATAAATTTGATCTCTTTGGATATTGCTAGTAGATGGAGGACTAGATAAAAATTCTAGACATTTGAAAAATATAAAAGTATATTGTCAGCTTTTTAAAAAATTTGACTTTGATTACTTAAGTGTACAAACACATACTCCAGAGCAATCATAATATAATCCTGTTGAAAGAGGTATAGCAATATTATTTGAAAAACTTGCTAAAATTATATTACCAATTGATCATTTTGGTAAACATCTGAATTCATAAGGTACTATTATATATTCTGAGTTAGTTACTCAGAATTTTCAATATGCTGAAGAGGCTCTTTGTGAAATTTGAAGCTGTGATTTAATTTTTAGAAAACATGTTAATGCTCAATATATTGACATGCTTAAGAATCCTTTTGAAGATTTGCAGTTTGAGAGTACAGAAAAAGAGAAAGCTGAAGAATTAGAATAACTAGAAAAGCAAAAAAAATTTATAAAATAAAGATGATGATGTTGCAGACGAAATGCTTGCCTTTTCTAAATGCTTTGTTTCATAGTCTTAGATCGAAAAATACTGCAATTTGTATATGTATTCAATTGATATTAAAAGGTGCAAGATACAAGTTGTTGTGGATCACCTAAAGCTAAAGATACCATGGAATTCTTGAAATCTATAATGGTTTTTTGCCAACTGTTACTAAAGCTAGGATAGACACTTTACAAATCCTATTCATCTACTTCAGTATTGTGATTTTTTAAAAATTCTAGACTACAATGCTCATTGCCCAACCCTTAAAGAAAAGTATTTCTGTTTTTGTTGTTCTACTTATCATAAGTATTTTCTACACTTACCTTTTTAATGAAATACAGAAGAACAATACATTTTACAGCTCAGAGGCGATCAAAAGAACAATCTAATAAACAAAATAGGCGAAATGTAACAGCATTTGATGATTTTTCTTTTCTAAAATCACAGCCATTGAAACATCTTATTCTATATGTTGAAATTCCATTAAGTAGTTATGTATTAGATGGAGAGTAACTGAGTAAAATGTATTAAATTTAAATAGATTTGTATTATCTTCAAATAAAGTTGTGATATTGTTATAAAAATTTTATTTTTTTCTTATTTCGTAATAATTTCATAAAAACTAAGTCACTATATATCATGTGATAGGTATAACGTAAGATTTTATTAAGACTAGTCTGCTACCCCCCACTCCCTTAAAATATTACATAATAAATGTCATGGCCCTGATTAGATAAATAATATAATCAGCTAATATTTCAAGAATCTTTAATTCTAAGGTTATTTGGTTATTTTGTAATCTAAACTAAATGATATACTATTATTAACTTTTTTATATTAAAGTTTTAATATCTAATTTTGATTTGATGTAAATTATAAAATTCTTCTATATATGAATTAAATCTGGTAAAATTTGTTTTAAGAATTTTACCTAAAAAATTTCAAATAAATACTTTTTAACTTATTAGCTGATAGATTTTTACATTTTTTTTTTTAAAAAAAAATAAAATTATAAAATTATCCACTTTAAAGCCTTCTCAAAAATTTCTTATTTAAAAATAATTAACAGAATTGTCATTATTATAATTTGTTAATTTTAAAGCATATATTAAAAAAAAAAATAATTTGTTGTTACTATATTATTTCTACTAATATAGTCAGAACTCAATAAAACAAATTCTCAATCAAAAATATTTAAATAAAGAAATAAATAATCCTGATTTAATATATTATTGGGCATATCAGATAATAATTTTTAGAGATATCAATGCTTGTTCAAAAAAAATTAATTAATATTCTTAAAGTATTGTCTAGCTCTCTTTTATTGGATAATCCGATTAATATCTAAGATCAATAAATCAATAAGCTTTATTTACAAATAATTGGAGGCAGAGGATTAGTGGTTTAAGAAATGTTTTTATCACAAATTTTTTCCATTTTTTAGGGCTATTTTCTTTATGTATTAAGAAAAATGCTTTGGGATAATGATTTCTTTTTGATGACAATTCAAAAGCATTCTCTTAGACAAGTTGCACTGATGATGGTATAACTTCATCTTTGCAGACTTTTGAACCTATAAAATTTAACAAAAGGAAAGAAGCTAAAGGAAAGTATTGGAAGGACTAACTTAACAATAAAAATAAAAACCACTAATGTATACAATGGGAATTGAGCTTCCTCAAAAGTGCGTGTGAGAAGAGACAAATTTCTCGAAGGAAACTTTACATGTAAGGCAAACACTTCAAGGATGATGGATAGGCAAATCCTAAGGTGCGTCTGTATCTAAGTACAAAACCGTCGCTCTTAGTTTTATACTAAAGGATACCACCAGAAAATGCTTCTCCTTTTTTTACTAGCCACTTCATTAAACAAAAGCAGTTCATGAAAGGATTAGAACACGACTGGACAGACAGAAAATAAAGGGAATCGATAATTATTCAACCTATACTATGGCCCTTTAGCACTCGCCTAGACATTGTTAAAGGAGAATAAAATATAAAAGTAAATAAAAAATAATTTCCATAAATGATTGTCAAATTACATGTACCTGGACATGATGATTTGAACATTAAGGATCCCACTATCTGCTGTATTAGACTGATTAAAGAAAAAAACTGATAGAATTAAAATCTTATTATTTATCGAATGAGTAAGGAATTCGAGCTTATGCGGTTGTGATTTAGATCTTAAGAGCCAATGTATTAAAAGAACGATCTCATAAAGATAATTTCTTATCAATATGTAATAACACTGGGTATAGGATGAATTTCCTGGGTATATCAAACCTGTAGGTCAAGCAAGTATTAATGAACTCGTAACGATAATAGAAAACCACTAATACAACAAGTTCCTCGTCAAAAGCATGAAGAGTACATTCGAAAAGTTCTAAAAAGATAGAAAGTTGTTTGTAATTTGAAACCTTTTAGGTATGGGGAGGAGAGTGCGTGGAAAAAATGTAGATTCTTTGCTGTTTCTTTTATAATAGAAAATATGCTGTAAGTTCTGTTAATTAATAATTTTTTTGGTTTCACCCCATTTAGCAATTATTAAAATAACCACCTAATGGTTTCGTTTTAGTAATCATCAATAAAGAGGTTCAGGAAAATTAAATGTCACAGTAAAACGGCATATGAATTTTTGATTGTAAGGAGAAAAACACAAGAGGTCATTGTATTGAATGAGCTTTTTTTTTTTTTTTATTTACGAAGATAGTTAATATAACTTATTAAGAAATTTAATTTTTTTTTAATTACGAAGATAGTTAATATATACTTATTAGGAAATTTAATTTTTTTTTTAAAAATTTAAAACCTTGATCAGGTTACCGAGAAAATTATGTTTGAAGATCCTTATAATTGCCAAATTAAGATGCATGACTATGTATATTTTTACTATATAAGATTTCTGTGATAGATAATAATTGTCAATACCATAAATATTCAGCACATCGTGCCTCGAAAACTTTTAATTATTACAATATCAAAATCAAAATCTAATTGCCAAAATTAAAAAAAATTATAATAGATAATCCATATTATGATTTAATTTACAAACAAAATTTGTATATCTCATTTCGAGAGGAACTTGTATCAAAACAATTTATAGTGGTTAAATAGACGTTGCACTTCTCAGCTCAATGTACAACGATTAGTTAATAATGATTTAGTAAGGATTTTCTTTTACAAGCATTTATGTGATTCTTTAACATCACAATAAGGATGTGGGTTATTATTTTTATTAATTATAAATAATTATTTACCAAATGATTTTATAACCAAACTGAACTTGATTTAAGCGTTATCTTGAGAAGTGATCTTCTCCTTGGTAGAGAAATCAGTCCATAATTTCGTAGTCAACTACTAACGCTGTCTACTTTAAATGGTAAGATTGAATGAGTATTTATCTACATACTAAGTGAGCTTTGACATCTCATCTGTTTGCAGCTTAATATACCAGGTGAGCCAATCAATTTGCACTCATACAATACTTACTCTTTTATTTCTGATTATTGAAAATTTTGTTGAAAAAGGATCATATTTCTCCGTTATGTCGAATAATAGAACTAATAGCTGGTGGTATTGCTCACACGCATAACATTCAATTTATGGTATTTCCAAAGTTTGTCAACCAAAAATTTTAACTTGCCCTATAAAAAAAATTGTCCAGAAAATGTTATCGAAAATGTCCGGGTGTATGTGGAAAATGTCCGGAAAATGTCAAAATCGTTCAGAAAGTGTACCAAAACATGGTGGATTCCGAACATCGCGTGATGTCTTAATATTGTCCGGAATTTATACCAAAACATGGTGGATTCCGGACATTATTTGGATATTACAGCAAATTCTGGACAAATTCCAGAATTTATTTTTCATAGGGTTGGATTTTAAGTGATTGTAGAACCAACCTCTGAAAGCCCGAAACTTTACTGGAATTACCCAAATGCAATAAATTCATTTTGCGGTTCAAATGAAAGTGAATTGTATACATGAGACAAGGATGTAAACAGAAAAAATTTGTAAGCGCAATCTGACCTTCTACCTGAACCGATAAGTAAGTGGATAGAGAATTGATGTATAAAACCACCTTTGCTTTTTCACAAAATAAATATGCAATTTGAGAGGAAATTGACCTAGTTTCAGTAGTTTAGTTGTCTTTATATTAAAGGATCTCGAGTAAATTAAATTATTGATCTATACACTTTTATCATGTGATCACTGAAATATTCAGAGTATTTTATTTATTTTTACTCTAGGAATTTCTCAACGATAAAAATATAATTCATAATTACTTAATTTCTTACAGCATTTTTGTATTGACGAAAAAAAAATATATAATACTTGCATAAGCAACCAAATTTCAAACAGAATATCAAAGCTAATCATTGAGCCAAATTTTAATTAATCGAAAATCATTTCTCCTGTCCTTTATGGCACGAATTTCAACTCGTGTAATGCAATTAATACTCTTGGTTGGATCGCAAATTACTTGGTCAGATGACGTGTCACTGAATACTTTTATAAACGTTGAATTTCCAGTGGGCTCAGTTAAATTTTGTTGTTGGCTGCGATTAATTTACCATTTCCTTTAAGAAAAATGTTCAATCTCCATCCTCTATAATTTGAATGTTTAGCTTTTTTAAGTTCATTAGCAGTCTCTATATTGTTTATTTTGACGTTGAAAAATATCTTTAGGGTTATTGAGTAATAGTTAACACGCTTCCATTTAGATATTTGCGATAAGTGCATTGTTAAATCGGCAAAATTTTTATTCGATCAATTTTATTTATTATATCTGGGTAATTTTTTTTCTTTGAACGCGTGTTAACAAAGCCTTCCCAATTCTCGATGAATTGAACTTACAAAGGGCAGAACCCTCTCGGTTTCATTTGGTAATTAAAAAAAGACTTTAATAATTTAAACGGGAGTATCTGTAAGGCTAAAATTAACATTAATTATGTAGTTTCACAAGTTCTTGGCCGAATGT